AGCAGGGCAACAAGTCAGCCCTGCTCTAGGTGCTGCCTACTGATACCAACCTGGCTCCAGGAAGACTCGCAACACCCCCGAGGGAGGGAAGCAAGTGATCACTGCTATAACTCCAGGGCCACGTGCTCCCCCAGAGGGTGCTCCAGGAGGGCGAAGGAGAGGCTGTGTTCCCAGGCTGGGGCCAGCTCCTGTGCTAACCTTGGCAATGTGAATCCCTTCTCTGGGCCTCACCCTTTTTTTTTTCTTTTTTTTTGCACAGTCTTTATTTTGCAGAGTTCATGTCTGCAAAATAAAGATGTGAAACAAAGGACAGTTAGATCCCGGTCAGATCAGAATGTCTGTATTGATGACATCCCTTCTGTCATCTTTGTCTCTCTGTTAGTTTCTCAAATGTTTTGTGAGTATGGGGTAAATCATGGAATGGGTTAGTCTGAGCAGCGTGAACTGAGACTGAAAAAAGAAGGCAACCGGGACCTGCTGTGCTGGTTTAAGAGAGGCGTCGCGTGCAGCAGCAAAGCCCATGAACTCCTGGGCTTCAAACCCCACTAGCTGTGTGGCTGTGGACCAGTTAGTTAACCTCCGTGTGCCTCTATTTCCTCATCCAGGGAAACTACATAATGCTGCCAGGGTTAAATGAGTCAATGCAGGGTGAAGATGAACTCACAGAAGTGTGACTCCAGGTAAGCACTGTATACACTTAGCTATTACTATTGTTGTTGTGCTGCTACTGTTGTTATTATTACTATTACCTGGGTAGCGTGTCACAGCAATTTTATTGGATCATGGGCACAATTCTCTTTTTCTCTGAACTGATGTGTTTATGGTCCACAATGTATTTTGGGAAGCTACGGAGGGAAAGATAATAGGTTTCAGGGCCCGACACACCTGTGTTGAAACGTATCTTTATCATTCACCAGCTCTGTGATCTGGGAAACAGTCTTAGACTTCCTGAGCTGAGCCTCAGTTTCTTCTTCCGTAAATTGGGAATAATAATATGAATCTTAAAGTTCAAGGTATTAGACATCATGTTTGCTAAGTGACCAGTGTATCGCCTGGACCACAGCAGATCGTTTATCGATGACGTACGCATGCAACCAACAACTGTTTGCCAATAGCTTACTCTGTGCCAGGCACGGTGCTAGTGTCAGAAATGTGGATGGGGTTGAGTGTCTGGCACAGGAGAAGAAAAACACAAGCAGATAGTAGGCGGCACCCACTAGGGTGATGCTAACTTATCCAGTCAGGAAAGGCTGCCCTGAGGAGGTGACATTTCCATTACCACTAGCATGTGGATTCTCAGCCATGGAGACATCCCTTGTTCGATGCCAAGGCATCCTGCATCCAGGCATATTTTGTGGTCAGTTTGATGCAGATATCACAGAATGATGACAAAATCCTCTTGATCTGTGGTGCTGTAGAAGAGAGTGTCCCCACTGTGACAGGCAGAATAAGTGCCCCCCGCCCAAGATGTCTAAGTCCTATTGCCTAGAAACTGAATGTGGTACTTACATGGCAAATGGACTTTGCAGGTGTGATTAAGCTAAGGATCTTGAGATACGACTGTCGTAGATTATCTGGGTGGGACCAGTCTAATCATGTGAGTGCTTAAAAATGGAGAGCTCCTCCAGCTGAGGTCAGAGGGAGACCTCACCATGGAAGAATGGTCAGAGACATGCAGTGCTTCTGGTTTGAAGCTGGAGGAAGAGGCCACAAACCAAGGTGTGTGGAAAGTCTCCTGAAGCTGGAAAAGGCAACCAAATGGTTTCTCCCCTAGAGCCTCTGGAAAGAAATCCAGCCCAGCTCCCACCTTAATTTTTGCTCAGTGAGACCCACGTTGGACTTCTGACCTCCAGCAGCGATTGAAAACGAATACGCCCACGTACGCAGGTCCTGACATCTTTCTGTGTTGGACACCGTGCAATTCATGCCCCCTGAAGTACTTGCTCTTATCCCATTTTACAGATGCGTAAACACTGGGAGTCAGGAAGGTTAAGCACTTTGTCCAAGGCTAGTGAGAGGGTAAACTGGGGCCAGGGTTCCTACCTGTAGCCGCCTGACTCCAAAGCTTTCCTGTTTCTTAGACCCACACACACCTGTGCTGGGCAGCCCCACTCCCTCTAGAGCCTCGCGGAGACTCTTACGATAGTGACCACCAAACACGGGTCACCGCCTTAGGTCACTGCCCATCTGTTACAAGGTGTGTGCATTAAACTCCACTTTCAAACTTTGTTTGGTTGAGCCTGTCATGCCAGACAAAAGTTGTGTGACCCAGCTTGTAGTAGCTTTTGCCATGAAGGTATCATTTACTGGTGAGTATATTTTACTGCGCTGTTATAGATCTCTTCACTCAAGCAGCTGTCTAACATGTTGAATAGTCTTTCATCTTGTCAAACACGTCCATGCGCCTTTCTACAGCTTTCTCAGCCAACATGTACGCACCTAATCAATCTAATGCCACTGTCTCCAGACTTTCAAACCCAAAAGCACTGCCCCAACCACTTTCTTAAAGAGACAATCCCTTTTCATTGAAATCATTTCATCGCACTCACGGAATGGCGAGCGGGTGCTTTCAGAGTGGTGGAGAGGAAGACTGAGCTGGGACTTTTTCTAATTGCTATGTAACGTTTGTATGTGTTTATGGGATACATGTGATATTTTGTTACATGAATGGAAAGTGTGATGATCAATTCAGGGTAATTAAGGTATCCATCACCTCGGGTAGTTATCATTTCTATGTGTTGGGAACATTTCAGGTCTTCTCTTCTAGCTATTTTGAAATATTCATGCATTGTTGTTTACTATAGCCACTCTACTCTGCTATGGAACATTAGAAATTATTCCTTCTACCTAACTGTATGTTTGTGCTCATTAACCTACCTCTCTTCATCCCCCCACCCTCCAACACCCTTCCCAGCCTCTGGTACCCACATGTATCTGCCTCGCCTGCATTTCTACTAGATCACTTAGGAGAACCTCGTTACAGGAGGAAGACACACAGACTGATGCCTCTACTGTCTTGCAGACGGACACTCATGGATACACATGGATAAAGCAGATTTTATCAACATAGTCTCATGTATTCATTACATAAACATGAAGTCAGGGTCTGAGTGTCTGGCACACAACATCTGCCATCTTCCCACATCAGAAATCACCTGACTTCTCAGTCTCATCTAAGACCTTCCACCTCACCCATCACCTCCCTCCATGGGTTCCTGGGATACTAGTTGGCATTATTTCATGCCTTCATATTTAGGTCTGCAGCCTTACCACAGCCTTATCATGGCTTACAATACCCGTCTCCCCTGATCTGTCCAATGAGCTCCTACTCACCCTACACACTCAGCTGAGACATCATTCTTCATAGAAAGCCCTTCTTGCATCTCCCAAAGCGCATTGCTCTGTCCTCGACACCCCGGGGGTCCTTGCCCGCTCTTCTGTTATATATATTTATAAAATGGTGGTATATATCTCATCCGTCCCTCTGAGACAGATTGCAAAAATAGCCCCCCTTCTTTAGGCCCCTGCCTGTGCCCACACCCCCTGCTGTGTAACTGTGCAGGACCCTCCCACTCTAGCTTAGACTCAGCTATGTGACCGTTGGCTGGTAAGATGTTAGCAAATGTGATGCAAACAGAGGTTTGCAAAGCGCTGATGCCATTGGCCTTGCCCTCTCCCCTGTGTCTCCACCATTGCCATGGGAACATGCCCAGGCTAGGCCCCTGGAGAATGGGAGCAGAACCCAGCCACCCCACTTGCCCTGGCCAACAATGTTAGTCAAACTTCAGGCATAAGAGCATGGCCAGGCAAGACGAGCAGCACTAACAAGCCAACCTCCCCAAGGGGCACAAGCAATAAATACTTCCTGTTGTATGTTATTGAGATTTTGTTCATTAAAGCAGCATTATTATGGTTATAGGTGACAGATACACTCCCCTGTAAACCTATATTCTCCTTAAGGGCAGACATTGAATCTATCCTATTTGAGTCTTCAAGGCACAAACACTTAGTAGGAATTCAATAAATATTTGTTGAATTGAAAGCAAAAATGATTTTCAAATTCTGTATACATAATAGCAGCTCTAAATTACTAATACTTATTCTGGGGCTTTTGTTACGCAGGAGGGAACTTAACATCATTTTTCTCTTATGACTCCAAGTTACAGAATTTCCATTAATAGACTGATCCTTCATTTGTGCCAAGATGGAAGGGGAACTCCACTTTAGAACAGCCTTGCCAATCCCCATGCAAAGCGTAACTCTCCCATAAACCACATTTGTGTACAAAATATTAGTTAAAACCTCTTGTTTTTCATTGTAAATACATTACTTATGTGACGTAAGGGAATTGTGTGCAGTGAACCATGTGGAGGGCAGAGATCACTCACGAGTTAATCGTCGTCCCTAAACCAGTTAATAGAAGGGGGTTGTGAAGAAGCCAATAAATAAAATGATTGCTATTTTTAAAAATCAAAACAAAGCTAAAAAAAAAAAAATTCCTGCCAGCCCTTTGATTTAGTGATAGACTGTGGATTTTCCAATTGCACTTTTTGTTTCTCAGTATGGTATTTTCTGTTTAAATTTCAGATTGCTGCAAACAGATCCACACAAAGAAGGCGCTGATCACATAGGTAGATGTGTGCTCTGTTTTAGTCTTTCTTCTTAAAAATTTTATATATATGTATATATATAGAGAGAGACACACATATGCACACACAAATACACACACACGTGTATTTGAATTAGTTAGGATGGAGGGAGGTAAGTTACTTCAACCTTTAAGCCCCTTTGACATTCACAAGGTGCTAAAAGTCAGCTGGGGTCTCAGCTCTGACGAATTTGCATCTCTTTGAATATGATGCTTGAAAAACCCCAGCGATAGATTAAATTTTGCCAAGGAGAAAATGAGAGAGAGGCTTCCATCTCTCAGGTCTGCTGGGAGGATCTTTATGGTTGATTTACTTTTTTTAAATAAATGTTTCTTTATGTGTTTTCCTCAGTTCCTGCCCAGGCTGCCTCTATCATACAAGCTGTAACTTCTGCCAGTCCTATCAGCCGGCGAACAGTAAGTCAACCTGGTTCTCAGTACAAGGTGAAGGGATATTTCAATCTAAGCTGCATATACCTTCTGTGTTTTCTGATTAAAATTTGCAAGCAAACCTTGGAAGAAACTCTACCTGACATGACTTCTAAAATAATTTATGCTCTTTGCAAGCCTCGAATGTAGGGATTGATTTTGGTGCCTGTCACTATATTTCAGATGATCAAAAATGGATCAGGGCTTTTAAGTGAATTTAATGACCAAAGATGATTCTTCGGAAAAAAAAGAAAAATCACCGAGGTTAGAAAACAAAATTCCTTGTCTAAAGCCATGGAAGAATGCTATTTTTTTCTTATGAAAATGGCCCATATTAATCATCAAGAATTTGAAAAATGTAGAAATAAAAAAGAGAAAAAAATCACTCATAATTAAACAAGTCAGATCTATTGCTAACACATAAGCATATTTTCTTCCAGTCTTACGTATGTCTTTGTGCTTTTTAATATAGGCAAGCGTATAATACAAGTACAATTGTATTTCCTGAATTTTTTATCACTTGTAATAATAAATGATGATGATGATGATGATATTTGAGCACAATTAATCAGGAACTTTCTAAGTACTGTATATATGTTGCCTTGTTTAGTCATCAAAATAACCAAATAGGATGAGTATTATTATTTTCCCTATTTATAGATGTTAAGTAATTTGCCCAAGGTCACACAGCCAGAATGTTGTGGAGCCATGACTCAAATGAAGGAAATCTGATTCCTGCACCCCATGCCCTTAATCACTACGTATGATATGTGATACTTTTAATGTTATCATACAGTAATCATATATGTGTGTGTGTGTATATAATTTTTAGTGGTTGTATAATATACAAGGAAACTCTACTTACCATATATTCACATTGCATTTTATGCAAATGTGCCCCCAGGGAGGTGTGCAAGGTGACAACCCTGCACTATAACATTGTATAAATGATCTATTATCTTTTAAAGCCATTTCTCTATTTATGGACATCAAGTGGTATCATAATTTGGCTCCTTTAATCACAATCTATGTTAGAATTGAAAAAGCACCAAATATCTCATCAGATAGACCTGGGTTTGAATCCCAGCTGTGCAACTTTACTACTAGTGTTTTCTTGGACAAATATTTTACTCTCTCTGTATCTAAGGCAAATTGGGGAGCAGTGAAAATTAAATAAGATGTCATGGGTTCAATCTGTTTAGCACAGTTGCTGACACACAGGGAGGGGCTAATATCTAGTAATTCTTTTTATTATTAGTAATAATTTACAACACCTATAATGTTTTGAGCAATATAGTCAATTAGGTGACAATAAATTATCTGAGTCAATCCTCACCTCAACCCAATAAAATAAGCATCAGTTATTGTCTTTGATAGATGAGAACAACGAGGTTTAGGAAGGTTAAGTGATTTCCCTGGGTGAGGCCTCACCTGGCACCGTGGGACCTGATTTCAGAGGCCACACTCTGAGGCTCTTTGTGACACTGAGGCCCAGTCACGAAGTGCAGTAGTGACTCTGCCAAGGAGTTTAAGTCTAAACGGGAGCACTGAAGAGACTGTAAGTAGGGGATGCATACGATTGTTTTTGCAAGATCTGTCTGCTGCGGCATCTGGCATGGAGAATGCATAGAAGGAGCAAGACTGGAGTAGGGAGAACCTAATAAGGGGCCATCACTGGAATTCAGGCGAGAGATGATGAAGCACGTACGAAAGAGGGACAGTGCAGTTGGAAAGAAGCAGATGGTTTTAAGAACTGTGTTGGAGACAGAACTTGTAGGATTTAATGCCGTGGGAGACACAGAGAAGAGGGGGGAATAACATGTCTGAGTTTTTGTTTATGGAATTGTGCAGGTAAAACCAACAGGTTCATCCACCAGTAGAGGATTGTTCAGGGGAAGATGGTCAGCTTAGTTTTGGATAAGCTGACATTAGATTCCTAACAGACACTCAGGTGGAACTGGCCAGGCAGCAGTTGAATGTAGACATCTGAAGCTCAAAAATAGAAACAGAATTAGTAATTTAGATTTGTGTGCTTTCAGCAAATTAATGGTGGTTGAGGACATGGGAATACATAGGAGTGTCTAAGGAGAGTGTCAAGAAAAGGGAATTGAGACTGGAACATGAAAAAACACAATTTAGGGGATGAGCAGAGGCTATGCCGTGAGTTAGTCAGGATGGGATAGGCCATGCTGCAGTAACAAAGTTCAATACCTGAGTGGCTCAGCACAACAGAAGCTCATTTCTTCCTTATGCAAAATGTGATGAGGGTTGACCGGGACTGTCCTCCATTTAGTGACTCAGAGAACCAGCCTCCCTCCATCTTGGGGCTCAAACCTATCCACAGTTAACTTCCAAGAGCCCAGAGAGAGGGGAGGAACATGTACACCAACTCTTAACTGCCTTATTTGGAAGAGATACATACACTTGTGCTCACATCCCATTAGGTATAGTAAATGCAGGCCATGCCCTGGCCACAGAGGAGTCTGGGAAGGACTGTGAGTGCAGGAAGAAGAAACGACATGGTGGATGAACACAGGTCTCTTCTGCAAACTCAGGTGTATTCCCCAAAATCAATATGAGTTTTAAGATTCTATCCAGGCACTACTTACCGTAAATAAATGTTGATGTCATAGCTCAAGTTGGTATGGTCATGAGGTATGATAGATATTTAGCAGCTCTCCTCCATTTGGGCAGGTGAGCAAGACACCAAAGACAGGATAAGAGGTAGTAGGACTGTCCCAGTGCTAGAGGCTACCCAAGTAGAGTCCAACAAAGTCTACAGGAGTGTGGGAAACTTGGTCAAAGGAAGGTTCACTTACCAGCAATCCAGGCCACAGTTAAAATCAGAATTTTGATCTGTTCAATTGATCTTGGTACAGTAGGATTCTAGAGCCAGCCAAGCTGTCCCAAAGCCACTGAGCAATCAAAGAGCAAGGCATGGAGACAATGCCAGAAGCTCATTTGTCCTGGAAGGCTGAAACTCATTTCAACAAGTGTCCACGGATAGTGCCAAATATATCAGACCTGAGGTCTTAAGCTGTACAAGCCCTGGACATCGCCCATAAGGACCCAAGGCTGATATATGTCCTACTTTGGTTAGGACTGGATCAAGTTCTGAGCAGGGAAGAACTTTAAGGCTCAAGGAGGCAATCCAGGTGAGAGGGCCTGGGAATGTCCCCAGGGACACGTACTTGGTCTGGCATCCCAGCCGTGGTGCTGGCTGGTCTCTGCTGCCGATGACTGATGTCCTAATGGCTCAGGCGCTCATTTCTGTCCTCACTGGGTGTTGGTTCCCTGATTTCTGAGTGGAGAGGGAATAGTGAAGTAGGTGATCCATACGGTCCCTTCCCCTTCTAAATCTACTAATCTGTAATTAACTGAGATATTGTAAAACGCAGGGCACATTAACGTATGCTGTTACACAAGCTGTTATTTTTATTAATCATAGACGGCCCTTCCCCTCCCTCTGAGTTAATGGGCACTGCAGGTTTAGAAAGTCATTCCGAGGGGGCACTTAGAAGGGGGACGCCAAATCAAAATAAAACTTCTCATCCAGTTTAATTGCGATTTGCTGCCCGAGTGAGGCAGAGCTGTTACCAAGTAGGAGCAATTCTGTAGCGCACTCGGAGATTTAAGACACGACGTAATGCTGCTCATAGCCACGTCTGATACTAGGAAACGCAATTGTTGGAAGCATTTGGAGGCAGAAAGTTCCTTCCCACGGGCAGAGGAGCGCCCCGTTGGAGCTTTGTGGGTTCTGTGTTTCTCCTGCATGTGGGAAGGTGGGTGTGGACCCACAGTGTCGGGGAGTCTAGATGCCAGGAGCCCTAACTGTGCCCTTCTGAAGTGGTTTGTAAGGGTGGCATAATTTGTGACAAACCGAATACTCTTAATTCTCCTTGTCCAGCCTCTCCCCCGTTACTTCCACTGCCCAATCCCAGTCCACGCGGGTCTCGGAAAGACCATGTTGCCCTCAGTCCCTCACTCTCTTGCCTTACGAGTGAGCTAGTCATGTCTCAGCAACTGCTCCTGGAGGAGGCTGCAGCCGGGTTCTGGTGGGGGCTTGTGTGTGAGAGGAAGTTTCCTAGAAGGGTGAGAGAGGAACGGAAGGAAGCAAGGGCAGGCGATGAGCGTAGGAAGTGCGCAGTGGGGCCGGAAGGAGCACAGCACCCACAGCTTGCAGCATCCTCCCCCCAACTCCCGGACAGCGGTGAGGCCTGCAGCGCTGGAATGAGGAAGGAGGGTGGGAGGCCGTGACAAGGTCAGTGACTTGCTGTGGGCACACGTTGAATAAGCAGAGGCTCTGAGCTTGAAATTCAGGCTCTCCACTGCATAGGCAGCGCCCTCTGCATTGCACTCTGGACATCACTGTTCCTACCTCTGTCCACTCTGCCCCTCCCTGAAGCCTCCCTCAGTGCCACTGCTTCTGGGCTCCCGCTTGGGCTGCTACCTACGTGGCTGCCCTCATATGTCCTCTGTTCCCCTCTTCCTGTGGCTCTTCCTAGTGATCTTACTTGCCATTTGCTTCTACTTGCTAGGAGCTCTGATGGGTGTGACGATCTTGTTTAATCCTCACAGTGACTCTCCAAAGACCTCTCTGAGGTACAGAAGGACAATCCACCTGGCTCGTGTCACACAGCTAGTGAGTGACCCAACCAGGATTTGGTCTGAATCCTAAGACCAGTCTCTTACTTGTAAGCTACATGCTTCTATGTAGCCTGAGAGGTGGCTTTGGGGTGGGACTTTACAAAGCAAGGACCCCTCCCAGGTACGATTTGGAGATGCAGGATTTGGACCAGATAGGGGAGAGGAAAGACCAAGCGCGGTCCTGGGGTAAGAACCCATGAGAGGCACACAGGTCACACGACATGGGCATGGCAGGCGTGAAGCACAGGGGGGATGGGGGCAAAGCGGGCTCCAGAGGCCAGGGCTCTGGGGACCCACGGAGAAGTGAATGCGGATATTCGCAGCATCACGGAATCTCACTG